TCAAGACAGACCCCTCTCATTTCAGGTTTATAGTAGTGTTATCGATAAGTCAAACATATATTTTCCATTTAAATTGACCACGCTACTTATTTTTGATGTGAGTATAGCTAGAAAATATAAGTAATTCTCGCCTTTGTGGTGACATTTACTGACTCATTGGCATTTGTGACTTTGTAACGAAGAGTTTTGCGCATGGTCACGATGGGCATGACTTCATTGCGAATCCCTTTGAGGGTGATGAAATGGTGGTCCCCCGGGATGTGATAAACAGTTTATAGAAAAGGTTGAGTGAAATGAAATTGCATCGTAAATCCTAGTCATATCAGTATTGGAAAAACGCCACTATCACCTCAGGCAGCCTAGGGTGACAAAGTTCTTATTTTCTTCTACCAAACGCGCTTTGGCCTCGTTACTATGGCCAATTTCTGATAGGGTTTGTTTGCGTGAATCTGCGAAAGGCTATCATGATGTCGATCCCAATAATTGGCAAAATAAATGCTATCCTGTATATGAGATGTATTCACCCTAGTTCGTTTATGGTGATCAGTTCATTCGCAAATTCCCTCCTGCTGCAACACAATTTTGACTAATGTTAGGCGGTATGCAGGCCATTAATTGCAAATCAGATTAAAACCCAAGTATCCGAGACGTCCAAGAGATAAGCAAGGAAGCGTGAATAGGTAATTTTGCGACACAATCACAATGCTGAAATTGTTTGAAATTCGTCTGAAGCAAACTTCTTCTGAGTTGCTGAATCTTCATATTTCAGATTTCACTCGAATTCGATGGACATGCTAGGATATTTAAGGAGATTTGATCTTGTCTGCTCAAGATAATACTCGGTACAGGTGAACCGAGCGATTTTTGAAACACAAATTAACACATATTCTGACATTAGTATGTTTATATGCTAAAAGTAGTTATTATTTACTCTTGTCCCAGAGTTTGTCTTTGTCCTTTATAGCCATAACAAGGCGGCTGGAAATGAGTCTATATGACGGCCTTCCTTGCAGTCTCACGGCCTTGGCAACTGAAAGAACAGGACGCATTCGCATCAGTCTTTATGCTGCCATCACACCCTCGTGGGGCTCACGAGACGCAGTGGCACTAAAGAGGTGAAAAAATGCAGCCAATTCTACGAGCTGCATCGCACTGGCCGACAGAGGCATGAGGCCGCGACTGAGGGGCAGCAGAGTGGAAGGATAGTAGGCGAGAGAGAAAGAGAAAGAAAGGGATGCGCATAGGCTCTCAGGCCTACAGTCGTCGAGTCAGTGACATGCTCTTCTTCAGCTTAACCACCTCCATCCAAGACAAAAAGACACTGGACCTCCATCCCTTGGTAGAAGGAATATGGAGGAGAGAATTGAAACAAAAAAATAAAAAAACCCGCGTTGTGAGCCCGTCGAGAGTGATCGTGTGAACCCATTGTTTTGGGATAGTGTGAGAAGGTACAAATGCCTGCAAGTCTATGATCGTGCGAGTCGTGAGGACAGGCCTAACTGGAACCCCACTAACCGATTCTCCGATTCGACGAGACTGGCTGCACACTTCGCATAACCTATTGAGCAAGTTTCTCACTCGACAGGTTCTTTCAACTTTCTGGTGCAAGAAAATCAGACTACGGGCCAAGTGTGCTCTGGTATGTGCCTTATTGAGGAAGTGTCTCTCGATTACGGCATCTTGTAGCTCCACTCATTTTGCCTATGCGATAGCCCCAGAGAGAGGAGCCAAGTGCGCTGCATTGTGCAACAGAGCGGGTAGGCATAGCGAGACGATAAAGAAAAAGGAATGCTCAGGCTAAAAAACGTCTGCACTTAGGGTCTAGAAGATCCAAATATCCTTCACAAACAGAAATTCAGCGATATATTCAGTATTTTGTTCAGAGTCGAAAAGAGGAAATTCGCAAAGCATCGAAGTGCCTCTCGTCTCTAAGACATGTACTGTTGCAAAAGCAACGCAATGTAGAGCGAGTTGAAGAGATTGGAAGAGAAACTAAGTCTGCAAAGTCGGATCTCAGCATTGGGAGTACTCTGCCGGTAAGGTGTTACTTTCAGGTAGAATATGAAAGACATAAAAGACTAGATTCCAGCATCCACTATTAATAGACGGAATCATATATATTTTCAAAGGCGGTGGAGATGAAAAAGGCCCGTTCTGGTACTAAGATCACTGGACAGGTCAAGGGGTAGAGATTTAGTGGGCCTTAAGAGGGAAAAAATTAGTTGGTTTTTACCGATTTTCATACCGAAGCCTAAGCTATATTCTGCTCCCTCACTATCATCACAATGCTGCATTCGTATATAACAGTCTGTTAATCTGGGTATCATAAGGTCCATGTTATCTACATCTGGATAGCCGAATGTCTTCTGATTGCTATCAACTTGCAAGAGGTTATTCGAATTGATAGTGATTCTGCACACAATAAAGCGAAAAAGAGGCCTGATTTCGCAATTTAGTCCACTATTTTCTGTATTCCACAAGGACGCATAAGGATATTTACGGATTGTTATTGGAAATTCGCTAGCAGTGTCAAGGGTAGTCCTCAGGATTACATTCTATTTCACGTTACCTTGCTTCATAGAAAGGTATTATCTTTCCTAGTCTGGGCAGAAGCTACAGATTAGCAAGGATGATAAGACTTTATTGGAGGCAAGGCTAACTAAAATTCAATCGCACCATAAGGCCTGCTCATAGCAGTGAGGAGATAATTCCACCCCCATTCTTAAACCATTTTCAGTGACCCAAGCTTATTAAATTGGTATTCAAAATTTTATGATAATTTAGCAACAAGCCCATACTGAATATTCAGCCCCAAATTCAGTTCGCATCAAGTCTTGAATGCGACCTGTACCTCGCCTTGTCGTCAGGTGACTGGTCCTAGATAAAAGCAATTCAGAGACGGATTGCTCTACACTAAATTGTTGTTAGTATCCAGTATGAGTGCTGTCAACACGTACCAGTCTCTTATGGAGATCTGAAAGCCAGTGTTTAACAGTGTGGTTTGGAAGGGTAACCTGTTTACATTTTAATTCATATCCATGGTTCGAGCCCCAATGGAGTCCTTTGTATAGAGGTGTCTTCGAATACATGATGTAGTGAGCCCATAGGAAAAGCTAAGCATTCTCCTCAATTTATAAAAAAATATCCATTATTCCAAAACAGGGTGCTGCCATTAGACTGTAAAATGATAGAGCAAACTTATGTGTTAGCAGCTAGAATAAACTACAGACTCAGCGGCCGGAATTTCAGCATCCGTCGGCCTTTACGATAAACTAAGGGCGTAACTAGGTACCAACATGATCGACTAATAAAGTGGCATGTGATGGACCTATATGCGTATCTAAAGGTGGTACTGGTTGAATAATTTTGTTTCAGATTTTCCCAATATTAATACGAATACAGGCAGGTTGTGATTATTGCGAGTAATTCGTCCTTAAAAATATCACAATATTAAAAATCATAGTATTCCAAGTTTTACTTAAGTAGTATGCCTTAACTGTTGCGATTGTTCCTTTTTCCTTCTGCTGTAATAAAGAAATGAGATGTATTCACCCTATTTCGTAAAAGGTGATGAAGGACTGGTAAAAGAATTTTCCCACAATGCTATGAGTAGAGCTGACACTTCCATTCAATTTCACAGAGCCTTGCTTTCCCAAAAGTGGTTTTCATCCAGGGTGGACTGCAGTTTCGACCTCGCATCGGTCTTATCAACACCCCCAGCGGGAGTCGAACCATGACAGTGCAGAATGTGAGTTCGACACGGTAACCACTCGGCAACATCGCCACGAGTGCCCTTGGATCACACGGCAGATGAGAATTTCCCATATCACATTCTTTGGTGGGATTGACGATGGAGCAAACGTATTTTTGCTATAACAATATATTACATTACCTATTTTTCGTATGTAAGTAGAGTGTTGAGACTACCAGTAAATCACTAATATGATATGTATTCACCCTATTTCGTTTAAAGTGATGAATTACTGGTAATAGAATTTTCCCACAATGATATGAGTAGAGCTGACGCTTCCATTCAATTTCACATAGCTTTGCTTTCCCCAAAGTTGTTCTGATCCAGTGCGGGCGGCAGTTTCAACCTCTCTACTTACATACCAAAAATATGTAATAAAGATGTCTTGTCTGCTGGTAAAAATATTACTCTTACATTATCACATAAATCAATCAAGTTAATAATTCTATTCCTAGAAATGGCTTTTAGACCGCACAAAGTTGATGACAATTTGCCCTTTTCCTTTATTAAATTTGGATGTATCAAATGTTTCATGTAGTTAATTTCTGCATTGCTACATCTCTGCTAATTTTGGAATTACTATCGTTACCTTTATGATCTTTTATTATATCAAATTTTTGTTCTAATGTAATCTTCAATCGCGTCTTTTTTTACCTCCAATATTTACTCTGGTATATTTCCTTTTGCCCATAGTTACTAAGGTTATATTATATATTTTTTAATATACTTTGTTGTACTTATAAAACTGGCGGGCCTAACAAGCATCAACACGGTATAATGATATCTGATGTGTCTGCTCCACGGCTCAGCAATCTTTAACACTTATTTTTAGTTCATAAATATAGTTTCTAGACCTATGTTTTCATCACCCTAAACGAAATTGGGTGAATACTTCTCATATATCTTGAACACTCCCAAATGAATTTGGGCTCGTAATAAATGCGGCCTGACCTCAATTTATTACTCGTACTAAATCAAAGTTCGTACTATTCGAACTCTCATTAATCGCGACCCGCCTTCATTTGTATTTTCCTAGCCATTTAATATCCTTATTATTAGTGTGTTAAATTACTTAATGAATTCTGGTAAATTTCGGCCTCACAGACAAAGTTATAAGATCTTAATCCCTAAAATGCAACAACGCTTGTTATACTCCAGCAGGCTTGATGGCAGTAATGATAGCAATTGCGAATTAATTACATTTTTGCCCAGTGGGGCCCCATATGCTGTAAGCAATTAGAAGATGAGGTCTTAATTTAGGTATTGTTAGCTCAGGAGATTCTTCGAAACCCACTTACTCTTCGTTTCAATTTAGGTAGACTAGATACTAGCAAAAATAGTCAGGTGTTTTCTGAAGCATTCACCATGGCCCAACGGCAGCTCCCAGGCTGACTAAAACCCCTATTCCACACT